AGAAAAGTATCTGAAAGAAATCAACTTACAAAATTTTGAATTTTCGCAATTCAACAACGTTAAGTGTATTGGCGAAGGAGCATATGCAACTGTATGTTCCGCAGATTTCCAAGACAGAACGTATGCATTAAAAATATTAAAAATTTACGGAGGCGAATCCTTTGTATCCGCTGGTTATAATTCCGAAGGTGAATCCTTTGTATCCGCTGGTTATAATTCCGAAGGTTTCAAGAACTTTAGGCGTGAGGTAATTTATTATATATTCATTATGCTACTAGTTTATGAGTGCGGGAGAGGGAAAAGGGCGCACCCGTTTTTTCTAGTAAATTATTGATTCTTTACCTTCTGATTTACAGCATTTCGGGCATTAAATATATAAAATATATCCGATGTCGATATTATCGATATCGGATATATTTAATGCCCGAAATGCTGTGAATCAGAAGGGCTGAATCGGATAAATAATCAATAATTTACTAAAAAAAAAAGGGTGCGCCCTTTTCCCTCTCCCGCACTCATATATGCAAGAGATATTAAATGACCCGGGTTTAGACAGAACTAATATTAAGGACCAACTTTAGTTAAACTATATTTGTAAACAATCATGTATATATATACCTTGTTGAAAATTGCTATCACTTTGCCAGGTTTTTTAATCTTGTAATTTAGTGTTCTGTCGGGATCTCATCGATCCTTATAATAATTTTTCCGAAATTCATGGCACGGAATGTAGATTGAAAAAATGGATAGCTAGCTCCTTTTCATTTTGTCCGCCAAAGTAATTCTTTGACAATTTATTTAATTCCCGACTAGTTAAAAATTTGTCACCAATCCACTGATTAAGGTGTTTATGAACACTCTTAAACCGGCCCAATATTCAGTAAATTTGACCAGAATTATAGATCAGACTATCTGATGTACTGGAAAATCCGACATTATGAGTATATTTTAATAGAAAATTTTCAGGTCAGCTAGATATTTGAATGGAGAGATCATATCTAAAAGATTTTTAGGTTTTACTTAAATATGGTGCAGGATATTTTGGTAGAATTAATTGGTTCAAATAAAATATTTTAATTCATTACTGATGGATTGTAGTCTATTCATAGTATTCAGTGGAAATGTTTTGTAAACATATTGATTGTTTTATATACTGTATATTTTGTTTTAGACGCGGGTCTTTTTGATTAATGCATTATAGTAGCTATATCTTTCATTAGCTATAAATGAACAATAATCTAACCTAAATGATGTTATAAATTCATTATAAGATCGAAATTCTCAGCAAGACTGATCACCATAACATTATTAAATTCCATGGCATTTCAAATGGTATACAATGAGTTCTTTTTAAACACGAGATTTTGTGCTTATATATTTAATTCTCACTATCATGACATAAATTAACATCAGACCGTGAAACTGGAAGATATATGTTGGTATTACAATTTGCCAATGGCGATAGTCTACGAAATCATTTAAACCTTAAATACAAACATGGCATTTATAAAAATTCTTGGGAGGAAATTATCCGAATTTCAACAGAAATTACCAACGGACTAAAATATCTTCACGATATGGGAATTATTCATAGGGATTTGGTAAAGTTAATTTCTTAAATGCTTGGTTTAACAACAAAGCTCTTATTAATGTAATTCAAAATTTTACTAGCACTCTAAAAATATTTTAATTAATGATGGTAACGTCCTGATCGCGGATTTTGGATTATCAAAGAATGAGAAAACAATATTAGATTCAGATTCAGATTCAGATTTGAAAGGAATGTGTGCATACATGGAACCACGACTCTTTTCC